AAAGCATTTTTATTTCAATCAGAAGTAATATTAGTGTTTAATGGCATATACATATATTGTGTGCTATAAAGAAATCATTAATACAGATAAAACTTGACTATTAGATATAAAATTTTAGAGCGAGATTTCCCTTTTCAAAGTGGCCATGACCAAATGAATACCGAGAACCATATTAAAATTTTGATTTTATTTATTTATTTAATTTTTTTTTCTCAAAAAAAAAAAAGAGGAAGAGTATATTTGGAGTATAGTTCTAGTTCTTCAAGCTGAATGAAGAAGATATTTTGTATTTACTGAACTGCAGTTGGATTTTTTTCTGTTCTTTTTCTCTTTTTGTCATCTCCTTACTCCTTCCTTTTTTTTTTTTTTTTCTTTTTCCTTTCTTTTCTTTTTTTTTCCCCTCAAAACTTTGGTCATTTTTTACTACAGACAATGTGCTTGTGTGGAAATTAGCCAGGGCATTTGCTGTCAGTTTAAGCGAGCAAGAAGCAATGAGTACAAGAAAAACACAAAGAAAATGGCCTCAAGGGAAAGCTCTGCATAATGAACTTGAAATTGCTACTGCTGGATATACCCTTTCTGCTTCTCCTGCCAGAGCTGTCACCTCACACAGCAATTTTATTTTAAAGGAGACAGTGGAGCTTGTCTGCAGCATCAGTAAGGTCCGAGTTTTATGCTGCTAGATTTTCTGTCCTCTAAAGATCACTGTGCTGTATGCTAYATTGATGAGATTTTAAAGAGGAAATAAGCCAGGAAGAGCCCATGGTCTTGCCTTCTGCAAAAGAGAAAGGATAAAGGCACTAAAGGACAAAGCATATTGAAGCCATGTTTTTAAATCGTGAGATAGATTTCTTTCAAAGTGGGAACTCATTATAAAATGGAAACCTATGTGTATGGAGAGGGGAATGCAACATAAGACTGAAAACTGTTTATATGCCTATTACAGGAGTCTCTGCAAAAATATTTTGGGTTAGGTTATCAGCTTCCTTTTCCGCCTCATAAGGAAATACAAACAAGTTAATTCCTGAGGCGAGCTGTGGACTGAGAGGGACATTCATCTTCCAAAGGGAGAATTCCTTGTCATGTCATTTCTTGCAAGTGGTCTCACTGAAGTCTTGGTTAGGAATTGAGTTAGAGAGCAATGCAATGAATGAAAAATGGAAAGGAGAAGAGAAATTACAGTGCAGAGTATTGCCARCATTTTAGCATTAAAATTTAGCAATCTTTCTAATGAAGTAACTGCTTTTTGACACTGCTCATCTGTTGGAGCAGTTGCTGTAGTTACAGCATAACCTTGAGAAATGGCAGAGTGGTWCTGGTGTATCCCACTGCCTGTCCTGGCCTGGTTGAAATACTCCATGGAAGTTTGCRTACCCTAAAGTAAATGTCATCAGGGAAGAACTATGAATTTACATACCAAAAAAATAGCCTAATCCAAACCAGAGATTATCAACAAAATATTCAGTAATATCAACAAAATAAACACAAATATTGGGTTTAAATATATTAGCACACTCTAAGAAATCTTGTCCTTGAAATGAATGTTTAATCCTAGCTTGAGTACTATTTTTTCGGGGTTTATTTCTTTTTATACCAAGTTATGTCATCTGTTAGAGGTAGTCCATAAAATAAGCCTSATCAGTATTTAAGAGCTGCTGATCTAAGGTCCTTCTTTTATATAGATGCTGATTCCTGTAAACTKTATGTGACACTAGAGAAAGTTTATGGAATCAGTACAGGGGAAAATCAACAAGGGCAGAGTTGCTCTAGCTCAGATATTTTAAACAAGTTAGGTTTGACTTTTCAAGTTGAAAAAGAGCTTGGAATTTAGAACCAAATTAGGAGTATGCTGGATGAATGATTTTGGAAAGGACAAATTGATTGAGATTTCTAAATTAACATGCAATGCTAAAACTAGGAATGATTTACCTGGGTTTGGAAAGAATGAAGATTGCTTCAGTAGATGACTAATGTAGCAAAAATCTGAAAGAAATTGGAAGGAGGGAATGAGCGTAGGGAATGTGTAATGTCAATATTCTGTGCAATAAACAAGCAAAGAGGACATGTACTGTGTGCTTAGTAAGTATATTCCTAATATAAAACCAGTATGAAAATAAGCCAGTTAATAAGTTAAGCAGGAGCCAAGAGGTGAAACATGAAAAAAGAGTAATTTTAGATCTCTCCTCTCCCAGACTGGATACCTGCCTGTTGTATGGGCTGACACATCGCAGAAAGGGAATGATTGCCATGGAGATGGTTGCGTGAACTTTTCCTATGATTTATACTTTGCGTTACTTCTCTGCTTGATTTTATTTTCTATGCTTACATAAAAAGAGTAATCTAAATGCTATTTATAAAGCATTTATTATTACAAATGGTACCTTTATCCAGGGCAATTTATATTGTTTCTATTTACTCTGTGAACATGGAAAGATGTCAGAAAAGGGCTGCCTTTGTGGTTACAAAGCAAAGTGATAACATGGGCATTGCCTGTCATATCCTAGGCTGATGACCATAGGACAATCATTCTTGTCTTGTTCCTTGCTGTAATGGTTATATACATTGCCCTTATGACTRAAGACTGAGAAAATTGTTAACTTTGTGTTCTTCAGTATGTTTAAGARCTTACACTCTCTGCATTACTAAATGCACAGAAAATTGTTCTTTTCCTTGTACTTCCCATGCCCTAATCCTGTGTTGAAAGGGTTTCTTAGCCTTTGGGGAGGATGTTCTCTGCCTTTAACAACTGTTAAAATATCTGTGAGCTAGGAGTTTTAATATATGTTATTCTCCAGGAGATCTGTGTGGTGATCTAAGGTAGTATGGACCTGTTAGAGTAAGCTAACACCTTCAGTTATTCTTCATAGTAAAGTACATTTCTGAACATGATCTTCTGTAGCTTTGGCCCAAAGGTCTGTTTTCAGAGCTTTTAGGTTCTGCACTGGAATCCTTCATTCTTAGTTTTTGAGTATTACATAAGCTTTTTGCCCTGAGATAATCCAAGAAGTGCACAAATAACCCTATTACATTAAATATCATTTGATGACTGGTTGCAGCTCGCCTGTGCTCTGCAAGGTGCAATGCCAGTCCTTGTGTTAGAAGGAGTATAGAAATTGTTGTCTCCTGGAATACACAGGGYGTGTGAATCACGGCCAAGAGCAGGAGGGTGGTTGCCATTTCTCCCCTCTACACCGTAGAGCTGAAGATTGCCCATGGTGCTGRGGAGAAGAAAGGGAAGTATTTGCTTGCTTAAGGAAACAATCTCTTCTGGGATCCTAAGACTGAGAAGGGAGATGTTTCCTTCCTTTTTTTTGAAGCTTCAATAGGATGATTAATGAGAGGATATGTTCTTGTACAGAAGGATGGAGGAAGGGAGAATTATCTGAGCTGCCTGTACAGAAAAATATAGCATCTGTTTTTATTGCTGGCTTTCAGCAGGATTCTGTTAAAGGAGAGCGCAGAAGCAGAGCTGTGGCAGCCTGCTGTGTGTGGTGGCTTTCCCATTTGCCTGCTGCTGAGGGTGCAGCAGCAGGCCTCGTGTACTAGATGTGTTGTTTAGCAGAGTTCTGCATTGTTCTGACCACTGCAGCTGCACTTAGGTCCGTTAAGAGCTTGAATCCTGCTCCTTGCTCRTCTTCCAGCAATGGCTTTTCTTCATCCACGCCTCCATTGGAGATGGGAAATTATTTAGCAAGGAAAAGTTATTGCCAGAAGCAAGAGCCCATGTATTGCTGATGAAGATCAGATGGCTAAGGAGAAGATCTAATGTCCTAACTAATTGAAATAAATAGTTCTCCCATTTGCTAACCCCAGCTTCTCTGCCATCCGAAAGGAATCTGCGAATGCTCGGTGTCCTCACATGCTCTGCTCCAAACTGCGGAACTCAGCCTGCAGGGATGTGCTCTGTTTGTGTTCCGCAGAGGGCTGAGCACTGTATACCATACAGGGATGGATTCTGCTCCGTCTTGCAAATGCTAGTTTGGACATTTGCAATAATTATACTGAAATCTCCWAGGTTTGGCAACAGAACAGTTAAAGCAGAATCTGACTGTTCAAATTGCCTAGTCCTAGACATTTGATTATGCAAAAGGAAGGAGTTACCATGACTCACAGTAAAGATCTTAAAGTGTTTCAGCTCTCACCTTTATGAATCATATTAGAGACTGTTGGGATTTTTTTTCTGTCATGAGAACTGTAGGAGTCATTGCACTGAGTTCTCCTTATCATTATCTCCTTATCATCTCATGAATTTGATGAACTTGCGTTCAAGTCTGTGTTGTATTTTGTATGTATACTGGACACTTGTTAATTATAGATGAAGGAATAGTGCTTCTGGATGCCAGACATTTGCTTTATATCAAAGTAGAAAGAGAAGACACTTGGTAGCTCAGGTACTAAAATTTGAGTTTCACCTAGAAAAGCCACTAGGGCTGGGTCCAAAGTCAGTTTAAAGTCACAGATGTGACTTCTGTTTCTGTGACAAACAGAATTTTCCTCATTGCACACTTGCCACCTGCAAGATATTTTTCTTGTTTGTTTGTACACCTCCTCTGTGCCCCCCAATTTAGAGCCCGTCCGTGTGAGTGGTTGAATGTCTGTGAAAGCCATGTGGGAGCTGAAGGGTTGTTCAGTACCTTGCAGGTCTGGGCCTCTAGTGTTCAGGCTTTGGTCCCTATCCTGTGTGTTATGTAATTTGTTGTCTTGAGCAATAAATTGCATACTTCTCCCTTCATCCTGAAAATTATGCTATTTTATATTGATTCCAAGTCCCATATATAGAAATTTCTTCTCTTTTAATACAAACAATATAAAAACAGGTCTTATAACATATTTCCCTCACGGAAAAGCATATTAAAATACAGGTCTTGGTTCGCTTTTGTTGGCTTTTGTGTTAGTTTCAGTTTCTGAAGACAAGATAAGGACATCTGTATTGTTGGTATATTTTACTTGCAGTAATCTGATGACCCATTTCTCTCTCTCTTTTGTTTTCTCTCCACAAGATTATCGTTGGAGAAACTGCAGTGTTTTGTCTACAGTTGGCTACAAAGGACTTTGAAAACCAAGAAAAAACAATATTAACTGGAGACTGTTGTTATATAAATCCGCTAGTTCGCAGAACCATCAGATTTCTTGGTATGAGCAAAGTTAATGCTTCCATTTTTTGTACAATATAAGCGGTCATTCTGTCTAAGTTAAGTTTCAGATGATGATACAGCATTTCATGTGTATTTCTAACTCAGATGCCATGATTTCTCTCCTTCTGGCAAGCAAATTAAGCTTCTGGGAAGTTTGGATAAAAAAATAAGTTGCAGAAACAGCTGCAACATTTCCCCACAATGGAGAATCATGGTCAGCAGGCCTGGAGTAGGATRAAATGGAGAAGGAGATATCTTTATGCCATGTCTATAGTCAGTATAGTTTTGTCAATAGACAATACTCAGCTCATAGCCAAAGATGAAGGCATTGGGACTTAGTTGCATGTTGGAAGCCATGTCACACTTAAGCACTTTGGTAACCTAGAACTTCTGTTACGGTCTGTGGTAGGAAGCTGTATCTTTGCTGCACCAAGGTCAGCTGTGAATTCTCAATTGACTTTAGTAGATCTCAGATGTCTTCTTCAGAGGTAGATTGCTATAAATAAATATATTTTGGAGGAGAAGTACCCCCAAAGTCTATTGAGTTATTCTTCAGATGCTGCTTGTAGGGATGCCATAGCAGGGTTCAATTTGTCTGCAGTTTGTTTCTTGCTCATGGCGGCATCTAAGAGAGAAACAGCTGGAGGAACGAAGCCTTGAGGCAGGTAATGTTCTTGAGTGCGCCTGAGCAGGGGAGAGGGAGGGGACATACAGCTGTGCCTCTGTTTGCAGCCTCAGTATTTGTGCAACAGTTGCACTCGCCGTGCGATTGCAGCTGGATCATGAACTTATGGTCGCCATTACATGGGAGTGCTGGAAGTCACTAGAGTGAGGACATGTCTTGCAGGGACCTCMTGGAGATGGGCAGCCATGCTGAGCGGCTCCTCCCGCTCCAGTGAGCCCCGTTTGCAAGCAGTCCCTGCATTTACTTCCCACTTCATGAACCCTCCTTGCTCAGAGAAGCAAAAACAACTGGGAAGGAGGGAACAGCAGCCTCCACAGCAGTGCCCCAGGTGAGGCATCGCTGCGCATTATGCTCACAGAGGCTGAKGTGGCCACGCGTTGCAGGGCAGTGCACAGCCCCAGGGCTTGCTGGGGGGTGCCCTCGTGTGCAGGGACTTGRCTTGGCACAGTCCGTTGCTCAATAGTGTCTAGCAGATCAAGACRAATTAACATTAGGGTGACTTTGCTGACCAGCTAGAATCCCGGAAATTTCTCTGGGTCATCCAGCTTCCTCGAGGGGAAAAAAATTACCTTTAGAAACACCTGTGGGTCTGTGGCAGTGCTTTCTGCAGTGGAGTGCATCCCTGAATTATCATCATCCTCATGGTGCCCCATGAGGTTGGGAGCTGTCAGAACCCACACTATATTCACAGTGAATGGAAGTATGGGAAGAGTAAAGGGATTTGCCTGTGGAAATACATGGCATTTGCAGCCCAGCTGGAATTTGAACACACCTCTGCTGGCTTAGCCTCACAGTCAAGGGCTGTGTTTGCATTTCCTTTCCGTGCTGGCTTTCCACTCCCCAAAGGATAGAAAGATACCTCAGAATAATAGAATGACTGTTTTCCTGTTAGTGAACAGATATATGTGTTTCCTTTGTAATGAATGAGTACACATACCTAATGCTTTGCTGATATGTCTGTTTAAAACAAAAATATGCCTTAGTGTAAGCAGTCTTTAAATATATAGATCTTTACTTCACTGTGTTTATGTCAGGGTAAATATGCCAAGCATAGACATGTCCTTTATGGTTGGCAGATGAGCACAAATCGTGCATGGCTATATTAAATTATTCAGTACTTCAGCTTCTTACAGCTGAGAGGAAAAAGAAGACATTTGTCCACTATGCGTAGTAGCTTTCCAAGCCATCTGTGAAGGCCTGACTTCTCTGGTTCTTAAGCAGATTTGTGAGGTGAAGAATCTGCCTCTGCATTTGTCTGGTGAAAATGGACACAGGTTTGGTGCCGGTTTGGGCAGTTGYCCTTCGCCTTGGGGAGATGCATGGCTGGGAGCCCTTGGAAAGTGCATGGTCTTCGGCAGAAGTGAGAACRCTTCTCCTAAAGGTGGAGGAACATCAGCCCTGGACATGTGGCAGTGTTGGTGCTGGAATTGCCTAGGAATGTACCGTCTCCCCATCTCCTACATGAGCTAGAATCCTTATGTTGCCCTAATGTTTAAGTTCTTAAATGGACGGAGCTGTTTTGTTACTATGATAAATACTATAATACATTATCATAGAATGAAGTTGTCAGGAAGTTTAAAACTTTGTTTCCTTTTCTAGGAATTTATGCGTTTGGACTGTTTGCTACAGACATCTTTGTAAATGCTGGACAAGTAGTGACAGGGAATCTTGCACCGCATTTTCTTGCACTTTGTAAACCCAACTATACAGCACTTGGATGTAAACAGTACACACAGTTCATCAGTAGTGTCCATGCCTGCACCGGAAATCCGGATCTTATCCTGAAAGCCAGAAAGACATTCCCATCCAAAGAAGCAGCACTAAGCGTATATGCAGCTATGTATCTGGCTGTAAGTATACTGTACTATTTACCATCACTCTATTTTTGAGTTCAAATTGCTCAGAATTTGGGGGGAAGAAGGCCTGGGGAGAAGATAAGACAACTGTTAAATGCTTATATCTATGTAAATCTTTGATGGGTTATTGTGAGGCCTTTGAGAATTTGATTCATTGCATTATATTCTGCCAATTACAAATGTAGTGGTCTTCTGAATCTCGAAAGCCAAGGAGGCTTTTAGGGCAATGTTGAGAGAATGTAACTTTTCCAAAAAGGCTTACAGATTTAGTACCCCATGTTTTTGGTTTACTTTTTCKCATTTTCAGATTATGCAAGGGGAGTCTGTGCTGGGTGGTAGGGAGAAAGGACATGGATCCTCCTTGATGGCAGGCAGTTCCTTTCAGTGCATTAGCACAGTGCACAGTTAGCACAGTTAGTAGAAATGGCTGTGTTGTTTGGTGGATGAAGCAGAACATAGAGTGTTATGTATCTGTTTGACCTCCGCATGTTTCCTGAGCATCTGTGCATATCAATAGGTACCAGAGCTGCTATCTATAGGGTATCAGTCCACATGCAAAGTCAGCTTGGTCTTGCAGCTTTTCTGCAAGAAAGTGAGCAACATGACAGCCCAAACCTTTCTCCATTTCCTCTGATACTAGAGGCAGTGAGAAGGGCTGGGGTCATGACTCTTTTCCATGGCTGCTTCAGGTGTGGTCCCAAGGCTGTTGGGAAGTGCAGGGAGGCAGGTGGCAGGGGAGCAGTCACGCCCCTGGTGTATAACACCCTGCCTTAGTTTGGAGCGCATATCATTCCACTCTTATGCAGGAACGTGTTTTGCTCTTAGCCACGTTATTCCCAGGGTCACTCCTATAGGGATCCCCTACATAACTTGGGTTTGTAATCCTGCTTCATTAGAGACCACTGCTTAGGGCCAGGGTTCCTGTGTAGCATCTGCGAGAAACAAGGCAAATGTGTTCTTCTGTGGCCATCCCTTAGCTCGCCTCAGCGTTTGAGTAGCAGCCTTCGAATAGGTACACATTCATATGTATGTAAATGCATGTATCTATATATGACATATATCTGACACGTGTTTGTACATATTTATGTGTGCTTGTCTGTGTGTTGCTTTGATTGTATGTATTTAATAAGCTGGATTTTAGTTATTCTTTTTCAATATGGCAAAGATCCCAAGGCTGTCCACCAATGTGTCACTTCCAGTGTGCCAGCTCCATGCCTCTAGATAAGATTTTAGTGTCAGTTGCTTAAAATCGACAGCTCTGACTAACATGTGCCAAAAGTTCCTTTGAGCAATGTCTATTTAAGACTTGTGGATCATCAATTAGTACAGAAAAATGTCATCTGCAAATAAGAGATGAGCAATAAGATTCTATACTAACTTTAGACAAGTGTAAGATTCTTGATAGTACTGTCTTTATTTGGGGAAATATCTAAGGCTTTGCTTCACTGAAACATGCCTCTAAATTTGGCCCAAACTATTTTAGACAATATTCAGCTTTCTTCATTTTAGTTGCTCCTATTTTTCTCATCCATCTGTAAAGTTGGATTTTCACTCTTAGCATGAGTCACAGTAACTAAAGGAAATGAACTGTKCAGGCACTGCAGAGCAGAATGAGAGATTGTACCAACACACTTTAAAACAAAAAAGTAGATGCTATGAAATGTTATAATAAGGGATATTAGTGGCTGTTAGTGACTTCTGTCATGGTTAAGAGTGCTGGAAGCAAATCATTCTGTGCTGACTATACAGTTAGTAACGTCAAAGATGAAAACCAGTGCAGTCTGTTTCATGACTTTGTGGTCTTTTACTGCAGCATTGCGTGAGAACGGGATCACCTAAAGCACTATAGGCTGCTGACAAGATTCTGAACTTTTTGTAGAGGCTGTGTGATATAAAAATGAATTGCTCTCATGTATCAGTTTAGATTCTAGCCTGCAAATTTACATTCTTGGCACAATTGGTAGAGTCCTTTCTAAAAATCCGGTTGGGTTGTTGAAGCTAAAAATACCATTTACTACCCATCAGGGAAGAAAATGCTGTGTGCCAATATTTGGGGTCACATCCTTACACTGTCATGGTGTTTATGAGGAAAGTTGACCCCAAATAACTATTTTCTCACGGTTATTTGCTGGAGTAGATGATTTAAACAGTAGCCTAGTCTTGTGTGAGCCATGATACCAAAGTTATTGAGAGCATGGACATAGTGAACTCCAGATATTGCTCAGCTAATACGAGCATATTGTATTTGAACTGTGGCCTTCAGTGGCTGAGTTCATGAGCATATCATCTCTGACACAAAATGTGCTTTCTTTTTGTTAAACAGAAATATTTGGGGGAGAGGGAGGGATTAGGGCAGGATCTGTCCTGGACATTTCAGCCGGTCATGCTTCAAACCCACTCAGCTTTAAGAKGTAGCCAGACGACAAGTTCATTCAGAACTCTTGCTCTGCAGGGTGAGGTGAACACAGTCAGCCCCGTGTGTGTCCCCCGTGCCCCTCTAAAAGCAGAAGCCCCCCTTTCTCTAACAGCTTCCCAGCTCACACTGCTCAGTGCAGCTGGGCACCAGGCCCTGGTGCTGGTGCACGTTGCCTTGCTAACAATAGCTGCTTTTTTTTTGTCTAAGTTCTTCAGTTTTCCTGCATTTTTTTTCCTACCCTTCTCTTGTGAGTGGGTGGCTGCTATGGTAACTCTGAATTCCCCTCCTGCTGAAAGCACAGTCTTTTTCTAACAATTGTATTGCTAATATTTGGACCTTTCAGAAGTTATTTGCCTCCACTGCTTCCTCTCAATATCTATCAAGAAAACTTAGCAACTGAAATGCTGATTGACAGCCCTGTGTTTTGATGTTCACTCTACCCTGCTCTATACCTGGACTGTTGTAAGGATTACTCATACTCTGATGACTTTTTTTTTTTTTAATCTCTAGTGTACCAGAATCTTCAAAATTAACTGCTGTGAGGCTATCCCCATATCTCTGCTGCTGCCTGGATTTCCTGTCAGCATTCTGCTCAGCTCTTACATCTTTCTTTGCTAGTGTTGGGATAATGAGCTGACTGTATTCTCATTTGTTTAGTAGCAGTCTTGCAATTTATTCAAGCCTTGCTCATCTGGAGCATCATCTGTTAATGTAGAGAGCTATTTAAGGAAAAATCCCTCTAAATGTATTAAATAAAATACAATTGTATCAGCAGCATTTTGATATGCCTAAGTTGACACCTGAACATTTAGAGGTGTATTTTGAAGACATCAGTTATACACGGACTCTCTCTCCCACAACTACAACACAGGAGTGAGAAGTCATGAGTCTTTTTTTCCATAGGATTTTTAAAGTGATGAAGATTTACAGAGTCTGTTCCCCTGGGTTTAAATGGCAGCCTTGTGGTTAGCAGTTGTCCTTTGGTACTTCAAGCCTAGGGGATTGATCGTTGCTAGATGTAGGTTAAAGACAAATTTTAAATCTCTTTATAAAATTTTACTTTGCTTTATTCTTATTGCATTGGACAAAAGCGATGGACACTTTACCTTAGGGTAGGATCATATTTGAATATGGTGTAGCAAGGATACCTTTCAAATTTGCTTTGAATTTGTAATGGCAGAGGAACAAATCTGTATCTTAATGATAGACCTTAGTACTTGGATCTGCAAGCTGCTTTTGTTGCCTTTTCCTGTGGACTCTTAGCCACGAATGTGACCTGAGGCAGGACTAGGGGATAAAGCTGACAGCCCTTAGCAGAGTTTGTGTTCAGCCTTTGATCCTCTGGTCTGTCAGGTTCGTTCCTAGGGCATTCTCTTATGTCATCCTGACTGCTTGGTGTCTTTATTGGTCACTGGGAAGAGACAGCAAGGGGGTCTGTTGCAGTGCCAGCCACATGGTGATGACCCTCTGCTCTGTGTCACGCTTTGGTCTGGTCTTTAGGGGTAGGTCTTATCTCATCTCTGAAGATCTCCACTTTCCCAAAGTGCTTGTTTGGATTCTGCCTAAGGGCCAGCTGGCTTAAGMACAGTGGAGGCAGAGTTGACCTGTGTTTGACAGATCACAGAGCCTGTTCAGGAGAAGCAGTGGCAGCAGAATCATCTTACTGAGTCAGCTTTGTTGTTGTCCTCTTTTTGCTAATAAATTGAACAAGAAAAGAATTCTTCTTGCTGCTTTTAGGGACAGTGTTAGCTAAGTAGGATTTCTTTTCAGCATCTGCACAGCAAGTAAAAGTCTCGTTTGCTGATCTTACAGCATGTATCATGTTCTTACTTCATATGTTAGGTGTATTAGTTACTTTCAGGCTGGAGAGTAGACTTAACAAATTGAAATAATTTGATCCAGGGATTTATCTGAAGACCTCTGGAGATTTCTTGTCAGTTTTTCATTACAGCTTAATTGCTGAAAACAGAGAGACCTCTGTAGTATGAATCAGCTTTAATTAACATTTTGATGTATTAGTGGTCTAGGCACATTGGAGGAACCATCCAGCTGTTTAAAGTTGCAACTGCCAGGAGCTCACAGCAGGACACTTACTACAAGTTGGGCTAGAAAGGTCTGACATTTCTAGAGTTTTCTTTTTCTTCGACCAACCCAGGCCCCTGCTTCTGAAAGCAATTTTTGCCTAGGATCATCAATAATTACTGCAAATCTTATGAAGAAAAGTGAGGGAAGCTTCACAGGAGCTGAAATGATTCCAGTGAGTGGCCTTGTTTGTAGTGAGACCCAGAAGATTGAAGAACATGGCTGTGGGCTAGTGCTAATAATAATTTAATCCCCAAAGTATTAACCAAGTGAGTTGAAGAACTTCTACGTTCTACCACAAAAAAAAAAAAAAAAAMAAAACAGGATTTGAAGTAAACAGGAACATAGGTATCGACTGCAGGAATGTTGCACATCCCTCAAGTGGAACATACATAGCTGCCTTTACTTTTATAGTAACAAAAGAAAATTTGAGATAATTTACACTTGGAACACTGCCAGGGATGGGTGCCTGTGCACTGGTTCCCTCCCCTGTTCACTTATTGCTCCTTGATGCTATATTTTCACCCCACAAAAGAACTTACACTGTGCCTGTGTCAGCCCTTCCTGACCGTCTGCTTGGGAAGGACTGAAACGGGCAGATAAAGGGCCTCTTCCCTCTTGCATCCCTTGCCCTGAGGCTGAAGAAATCAGCTAGGAAAAGTAACCTGACTCCTGCTTGGTGTGTCCAGCCTGCAGCTAACTGCACTCTAACCAACTTGGTGCTCAGGGACGCACTACGTGTTTGCTCGAGTGGGCACCTATGGGTATGTATGTGTTTGTATGGGTGTCTCTGAAGACAGCTGGAAGGAGAAGGCGAGGAGGAGCTTCCAGCATAGTCTGGGAAGTCTGGGAGGTCATTTTGTCCTATACTTCACAGTCTTTTTTTCTCTTACATGTTTTGGAGTCATTTTGTTTGTACTAGACTTGGGACATATTTCACATGAGTCAGACTTGCAACATGGCTTTTCTTCTTTTTCCGAAAGCTTTCCAATTATAATCTTAGGGACGACATTATGATTATTCTTTATATTATGATGTGAGACAGTCTTGTCAGAAACCTGTGATGAAGATGATGGTGATGGCAGTGACTCAAACAGCTCATGGTAGTATCATTGAATTGTTGTATCATTACATAATTCTTAAAATGCAGAAATGTAGATTCAGGCTTCCTTTTTTTTTTTTTTTTTAACACATATTATTAGGCATAATTTGATCACAGAAAGGCTGTAAAAATTTACAAGGAGTAGGTTTACTATGACTTTGAATTTCTCACCACTGCAGTTCATAAGAGAGAATGGGTGAATATAATTACCAAGAAACATTTCTGAAGTATTGCCCAAAGAAAGTACTCAGGGCAAAATACTCTCCAGGACAGAAAGTTGATTAAAACTTTTATTATTTGATGCCTATGCATTAAAGTTAAAATAAAATTTTGTAAAAAAATAATAGGTTAGCCACAGAAATTTCATGTGCAAATAAAATTTCATCAAAAGGAAGAGCAGTAGCAAGAGATCTTCAAAAGAAGTTTCACCATGGATATGATGGTGCAGGAGAATATATAGTCTGCAAAATTAATTCAAATTACTGTGTCAGTCCTTGACCTTACATCTAGTGTGTTAAAGTTGTTGGTCTTGTTAGTTAAAATAAAACAAGATTTTCTTAATTAGGTTTCCCTGTCATTTTTGTTCTTGGAAGTAAGCTGGGATAGACTTACTCTATAAACATCTATAACCATGTACCAATTTTCATAGTAATTCATTCTCACTAACGTTTTGAACTACTATGCTTTTTTCCTTTGTTGATACTGCATTTAATATTTATGAAAAGTGATGAAAAATCCTGGTATCTTTCAAGATGTTTATTCTTTGCAATTTACTGAATATGCTGCCTTGTAGCATTTTGCTTCAGGATCAAAATTAAAACAACTTAATTCTATTTTATTGCTAGTGCAGATTTGATCTTTGACTAAATTGACTTTGTGTGCATGCCCTATACTAAAACTGCAAGAGGTCAAGGTTAAAAGTGGGTCACTGTAAATCCTGGCTTGCCCTACAAATGTGTAGACATATCAATACCCTGTTTCAGGAAGTTTGCCTTGTTTCTCATGATGCTTTAATTGAGTACTGTCCTTAACATCAATTGCAACTGTTCTTTAAAGAAAAAGTAAGAGGCGTCCATGCTGGCATAGGGGTGTCTATGCCTGTTAATGAGGTATTCTGAGTGTTAGCCTGAGTGTTACAAACCTGCCTGCAGTTACAGGGAGAGACTCAGGAGCTGGAGGTCTCATTACCCTTGTGAGACATGGCAGGGTTCTGCGGTTCGTTCCGGATCCAGGCTTTTTCGTGAGTAAGGATTTGAAGGATGTGCTTGATTGGATAAAGAGTTTCCGAGATTTTTTCTGCAAAGCACTTTTCACTTTATGTTTGTATTAAAAAATGTTGATATTCAGCTAAAGTACTGCAGAATCAAGTCCCAAAGTTGGAAATGAAAGTTGTGGCTGCCTTCTCAGCATACCACATGATGAAAGCAGCTCAATGAAGAAAGTTCTCACAAAAATACAAGCAGCTACGTAACAGGCTGTAAGGGAAAGGGAAGTAATTGTTCCTTAGATGTTCTGGGAAGGAGAGAGGAGAAATGTGGGTTGGAGATATGGCCTGGACTTCTTTTCCCAATAGTTTATTCTTCCTCTTTTTGTTGAAAATATGCTATTATTTGGCTCTTGATCATATAAGGTATACTTAAGATGTGATTTTATACATATATTTTTAAGTCCCTTGGTTTTGTTGCAACTACTTCTTTGCCATGGAACTTTCTGTCTGTTTTGAACAGACAGGTGTCATTCTGGCAAGCTTTGACTGTTACTTCCTTGACGTGACTTACTGTAATTTTAACCTGCCTGTTAGTCGCAGGAGAAGGTACCAGTTCTTCAGTGCACAGATCCATCTGTTTCCCTTTGCAATTCCAAGTGCTGCCACCGGGAATTGCACTGTACCCTATTAGTTTCCAGTGAAACTGTTTAATCGGTGCTTGAATTATTTGGTATCAAAACTTCAGCTTTATCTGAAGGGTTTAGGGATTTCAGTGGTTTAGTTGCAGAATCAACATCTTGTGCAGGAAGAAAATACTTTTTTTTTCTTAAAAAAAAAAAAAAGAAACTTAATTGAAGTATAGTATTGAAGTGGGAAATTTTAAAGGAGTCCTAATTTAAAACTTCACTAGAGAGTGGAAATTCAAAGTCTGCAGCTTTTTAATTCATTTCCCCAGTTAACCCATCAGAGCTTGAAAGGTGCTGGCATTGGCCCTGTAATTACTAGTGCACCTATCCTTTAGGCAGCATTGTGCTTTTAATACAGTGCTTTTAATTCAGTACTTTTTAACGTGGAAAGTTTGATTGCAAGCTGGACAGAGATAAAAGCATAAAAGTTTGTGCATTTAGATTGTTCTGTGCTGTGGAGAGTGGGTATGAAATGTCATCAGCATCTGGGAAGTAGTAATGTATTGGTCCAGCACTAGCTGAAGCTATTTCATTTTATTAATTGCCATTTCATTAGTTTTTCACTGCTTTTTGACAAATCTCTGCTTACAGTCACCTTGTTTCTTGAAGACAGGCATTTGTTGATGAAAACAAGCTTTTGATCTATCTCCTTTGAGATCAAGATCTTTTTCCATTATTGTCAACACTAAGCAGCCGAAAAACGTCTTCTTAGTCTCTGTATAARTAATTGCATACATTGAGAGTAATACAACAAGGTTGTCTAATTTGCCTGTTCTTTGGAGGGAGGGGTTAAGTTTATGTAAGACTAGAAATTGCCGTAAAGTTTACATATGTAGAATTTCAATATCTATAGGTAAAGGCTGTGAGGACCTTATCTAGAGGTCAGCTTTCTTATTTCCTCACACACACACACACACACACACTGCTCCCTGCCACCAAAAAAAAAAAAAAAAAAAAAAAAAGCCATAATCTCTTATAATCTCTTTAAAAAACAAAATTGCAGAGATTTTATTCAGCAATTAGTGGAGGATAATATCAATCAAGGTGTTATACTTTCTTCTTTTCTGATTTTCAGATGTATATCACCAGCACTGTAAAAGCCAGAGGAACAAGGCTTGCAAAACCTGTTCTGTGTTTGGGCTTAATGTGCTTGGCTTTCCTTACCGGAATCAACAGAGTAGCAGAATATCGAAATCACTGGTCAGATGTGATAGCAGGTTTTCTAATCGGAATATCTATAGCTGTGTTTTTGGTAAGTGTAAATTGTTTCACATCTGTTTGGAAAAAAAAACACTATGTAAGTTTGTATCTTGTAACAAGTGTTGGTAGACTAGTCTTTTCAGACAGTTAGATGGAGAAGAGGTTTTCTATTCTTTCATTAAAATACCGCTTTCCTTTTCCTAGCTGTATTTTCATAGACTCAGAAGTGTCAGATGAAGAAATGGCTGATAAACTTTTAAAATTTTATAATCCTGACTGTAGAGTTTCAGTAATTTTAACTACTTTTAGCAAGTGTATATTACTTGGAATAGCATCTAATCTAGGTCTTGTTTATGAAGTATTAAATTTGTTATTATAATGCTCACACTGATCAGAGAATAAGTAACATTTCTTTTTAAATAGCCCTCTTGAATTTATTTTAAATGTTCCTTTAGACTTAAATTGATTTTTTTTCTTTTTATTCTGTAGTAAAAGATCCTTAAAGATCCTTATTTTGCCTTTTCTCTTCTGGAACTGATACCAGCTCTTTAGTCAGCCAACATTGATGAGTGTCTGTGTCAGCAAGCTACCACTTAGCTGTTAATCACCTTTGCTGATTAACTTCAGTACAAGAACATAGCAGAAAATTCACAGCTGTTACTGCCTGCAAGTTTGTCTGCCTGGCACCTAGTATGAGTACTAAATATACTTTTAAATTCTTTTCCTCATGAAAAATTTTTGAGCTTGATTCTTGGATCTCATTGAATTTGGCTGAGAACTCTCACAAGTTTGTCAGAGATGGATGTTTTCACCCTTCTGGTAAATGTGTGGGCAGCTTTAGATCTCTGTAAAATATACCTGTTGGCACTTCCAAACATTACCAGTCATTATTAAAAGTTTTGCCATTCTGTTTGTGCCCCTTGAGTTATAAAAGGGAATAGAACAGATGTTTGTTTCCATATTTTTTTTATATTTTATACTGTACGCTGCATAATGTTCAGGTAGYACAGCATCAAATTTAGTTATGTTTTGAATAAAATACAATTGACAAACTTTGCTGCTCAGCTGAACATCTGAATCAGCAGAACACTAACAAACTGGCATTGATCAACTGTTCATGGGAAAACTTGTCTATCGCGTGAATAGCATCATTAAACTCGCATATTGATTGCAGAAATATTTCCACTTAAACAGGTAAGGAAGAAATCTCAAATCATACTGGTGATAATTATCTGTTTAGGAAAGCTTGCACTAGACTTCAGCTTTAGATGTAGCATTTAGATTGTTATTGTCATATTTTTCTGAACATGCTGGGGACATATGGTCTTTATGTATTACATTGTTGATAATTGATATTATATTACTTCAGTTCCAAAACTGTGTTAGATGAGAGGATTTTTTTTTGTACCAGAATGATGCATGTAACAATAAATTGCTTGCAGTTCTTCTGTCTTGAAATTTTAGTTAAGGCTTTTTTTTCTGTATAGCATTAACTTTATTTGTCTGCATTTATGTTGTAAACTATGACCAAAGCTCATATCAATTCTGCCTAGTTCTGGATGTCAGGATAAAAATTGAAAGAACGGAGTTGTTCCTTAGTTATTCTCTTTATCCCTTTTAGGTTGTTTGTGTGGTAAATAACTTCAGAGGACGTCAACCAGAGCATGAACATTCTCATATGGATAATCTGGCCCAGATGCCAATGATCAGCATCCCCAGAGTAGAAAGCCCTTTAGAAAAGGTAATGTCTAACTTTTTTTTTTTTTTTTTTTTTTTTTTTTTTTAACTGAAATAAAATGTAGCGTTCCTGGAAAAGTGATTTTAAACTACTTTGTCAAGAGTTCCAAGGTCATAAGATGTAAATGAAACAGAGTAGTGAAGAAGGGAAGAATTAATTCAGAGAGACTCCTGATGGGAGACTCTTCATGTCACTTATATCACTTCCAAAACAAGCTCTTGAGRGCAGTCTGGTATCCTGCTGTGTCTGCTTCTTACAACAACCACTGCTGAGTCTGTGGAACTGGGCTGGGTGGATCTGAGGCCCTGTTTGTGTGTTCCTCCAGTGAGTGTGATTAACATATTGGCTTAGAATACATTGATCTTAGAAGGATGAAATTTAACGCTAAGCCCAGAATCGCATGTGAGTTGTGCTATTTACCCTGTTTGTGTCATTTACCCTGCTTTTGGGTGACCTGAGACCAGTGTGTGGGATGGACTGCAACTACCTATGGATCAACTGTGTGGGCCTTTAATCGCCAGGCACCTTTACAGCCTGAGTGTTGAGTGATTCCCCTCACAAAAAGGGACAAGCAATGTTGCTGTAGTGTGGCCTGCATCATCAGGCCAAATGATTCAATAAATTGATAATTAATAAAAAATGCCTTACATAACTGCACGAAAGCTAGGGATGTGTTGCCAAAGCAAAYGGGCTTTTGGATTAGAAAATACTCGCAATCATCTCCTGGATACGTCGAGACGTTTTATGATGTTTTACGTTTCATTATAGTTTCCCATGATAAAAAGTTCTGATTTTGCAAAGGTGATGATGTTCTATGTCAATGTTAGGTAAGGTTGTGTCGGAACGATTCTCTGAGCAAACAAGCTCTGAAACTGAAATAAATAGCGTAACCAAATAACAATGATATTTTAGACATTTTCGCCTGGAAGAAAGTTTGAGCTGTTAATGCAAATAATGCAAATGTTAAAATTCTGTTTTTTTTTTTTTTTTTTTCTGATGAGTTTATCTGTAATTGCTTGTTAAAATTCCTATGCCTATGTTTGAAGATACTAAACTCTACATTATGCAGGGCACCAAAACTGTGTTTTTAGATCATTCTTTTTAATCTAAATTACTGCTACTTTTGTTAAACATAAGAAAAAATGTGTTTAGCCACTTCTCAATGTGTGTTCATCTCAAAATTGGTGGAATTCTTTTGGAAGGGAAAGCTGAATTCTTTTCGAAATGATTTAACAAGCCTTTTTGAACCAAATGTGTCTAAGCTACTTATAATGTTTTTCATTGAGGAGGTCACAGTCTCATTTTCTTGAACAAATTGCTAGATGGTGAATGTACATCTTTAATCCATTCAATGAACTCTGTAAAATGTCAAAACAAAGCAAGATGTCAGTGGGCCTAGAACGCTATGAATAAGAGGGTCCTCTTATTTATGTGCCTGGCTCTCCTAGGGTAAAAGGCATTTGTGCGGTCATCATAGGTTATAAAAGTAAATTCTCTACATTCTCTGYTTATCTGAGTTTCAATTTGGCTGTTGCTATTTTTCATTTCTTCAGGGAATAAAGACTTCATCTTGGTGGTTATASCTGATTTGAGACCCTCTAGTGCATGAGGAACAATGGGATCATTTTGAGACTTGTTCTAGGCAGGGCTGAGATGGTGCTGGGAGAGCTATGGGGTGATGGGGGAGTGGCTGCAAGAGTAGCATGTGCTGCTGGAGGATGACCTCCACCTCGTGAGCTGCCCAGAGCTTCTGTATGAAAGACCTTCCTTGCCTCTGAACTCACATTCACACTGTGATGGAGAGTAGCTCCTTGCTGTTTTGAGACATCTCCCAATTAATTAGAGAGCTGCCAGCTAATGATCTCAGCTTATGGATTCATCTTTCTCTCTGTGGCAAAGCCTTTCTTCTGTCCAGACAGGCAGGATGTGATGGGAGGATGATTATGGAGAGGAATAGTTATGTTTTGGAAAACACTTTCTTCCATTTCCATCTCCTAGAAAATTTGAATTGGGATTAGCAAATAATTATACCTGAGTGCTTTAGATGTTGAGCTTTTGTGGGGTTTTTTGAATGCTTAATGTTTTTGGATAAGAGCCAGATCCTGTTAAATAGAAATCTCTAGGAATAAACCTTAGAAATAGGGTATAAATATGGCTCAATTAACTACTTTCACCACAGGAATGATTAACTTACTCTTTGCTTCTTAACTCCTTTCTTACTTYACCTCCTCTGTTCTTCTCTGGAAAAGGAGACATGCTAGGTAGTTGTTGTGCAATTAGGAGTGCTACATATGGAGTGCACTTGCACAGGAAAATGTATGCTACAAATGTTCAGAGCTGAGCTGCAGCTTAGGCAGGGGCAGGGCACTGTTTGCAAGGCCCTCCTAGTCGTGGTGCATGTGGCTGAGGACACTGTCTCGCACAGGTACCCGGGTTCTGTACACCTTAATAAGCTGTAGTCGCAGAGTGTCTCCTTGAAGAATCCTTGCCAGAGCTGGCTCAGCAATGCAGACTTAATGCTTCCAGCTTAACTACATTTGTCCTCAGAATTAATGAAAAGAAWGAAAGCCAAGCAAGCTCATCACTCACCCATCCGCTTCTTTCTCTCCCATTTATCTGACCTTCTCCTCTCTTACGAGACAATTCCAGTGCCTTCTTCCAGCCGAGGCTAGAAATTTTTGTTCTTCTCTTGCAAGAGTTGGAAATAGGGATGAAGAGTTGGAAATAGGGTGACAGAAAAGAAAGAGCTTAAAGTTCAGCTTCATCCAGTGCAATCACAAACCATTCTTGTTTTCTGTTTCAGGAGAAATTGTTCAGTTATTTCATGATAGTCACCTGAAGTCAGCCGGAGCTTACAAAAGTTGATATGAGTCTTAAAGTAGCTGTTGCCTCTGCTAGCCTTTTTTATAGGTAGTCTAGCTTTGAAGAATTGAATGCAGAGGAAACATGGAACATTTTAGGAAAATCAACATACAACTAATTCAGACAGTAAAAAAATGCTGAGGTTAAGAGTCTCAGAAAGTAACACAGGGTTAAGATAGGCACTGTGGTTTGGCTCCTAGGAGATGAGATGATTACGATTACAGTGCTGTCTCCATGATCAAGGCCTTCTGCATCCCCTCAATATTATTTAATTGCTCAGATTTCTCTGCAGTGCTCTGCTTGACTGTTGAGTTGAATCTGTGCCCAAATTCTTGGCTTGTTATTCCTTYGTGGTGTTGCTTCTGTCAGCAATGCCCGTGTACCCAAACGTAGTCACTGTCCTCTGCTTCAGAGAGCTGCTTAATGCTCTACCTAGAGCCTATTAGATGGCTGAACTAGAAACAGATAGTTCTGGGATTTTGCCTTTGAAGGTAGCTCAGCTGTGTTTTCTTTAGGGACAGTAATTCCTAAGTTTTAATGGCAATAAGGATTTGGAATTCTTCTCACAAAACATAACATCCCTTTCTCCTAGGATAGGAGTTTCTAATGAGTACCAGGATTATCTTTGCTTCAGAAAACTTGTTGAGTTTGACATTATACTTCCTGTCCTAATGCATATGTTCCAGAAGTGATAGTGGAGATAAAACATTAGAGAGAACTATGATACCTTGATAATGCTAAATATAGRTAAGGTCTTAAATTTCTGATAAGATTTTAAGAATAGAAAAGCTTTTCCTCTTCTGTTCTAAAGTTCTTCTGCTGCTATTTATTCCATCTTGATTATTCACAGCAGAATATCTTCTTAAAAGTGCCAGAAAGAGTACTTGTGGTTTTAATTCTCAGAGTTACTACCATTTCCTTAGCTTGAGCTTTTTAATGTGGAGGAATCTTTTGTTGGTGTGTACATACAGCAGCTCTCTGGTCCCTTGACTTCTCTGGTGAGAGGTGATCGCTTCTCACTGAGCTCACAGGCTAAAGACAAAGCAGAAGAATGTGTTAGCTCATCAGGCTATGTGCAAATGGTGCTGTTTCTTCTTTATTTTTTTAATTCACAGGCAGTGTGGGTGTGTACATGGGTGTGTATCTCCATGAAGGCTTGATGAGATTGCATGTACTTGCATTAGCTTATGGGCAGCTTTTCAGATTTCTATTGTCAYAGTGGCTCTCTCTTTGCTAATTTAGTGTGTTACAAGATTTATAACACAAACCGAGAAACACAGCCAGAAGAGGCAGCTCATAAAAGACCTTATGGTCTTTGTGTGATCTCATTYCAAAATCAAGCATTTGAATTTGCACTTGTGTCCTGCTCTTCTGCTTAAATCTACTTCTAGGGAATGGTTCAGGAAGTATTTTTATTTGAATGCTAACAGTGATCRTAGTATCTAATTTTCAAATAAAATCATACATAAAATGGAAATGGAACAGTATATCCAGTGTGACCTCCTCAAATGCATGTTGTAGGTTTTTCAGGATCAAGGTATTAGTAATAATCAAGAAGAAACTTTCCAACGAAACTCCTTCAAAGCCCGCGTCATTAGGTTCTTCTCCTGGATAACAGGAATGAACTGTTTTGAACATCTTCACATAAGGCAATAAACGTATGCGCGCAGCAGCGCGCGCGCGCGTGTGTGTGTGTGTGTGTGTGTAGAGCTAAAGCAAAGGCAGCTGCCGTGGGCTGGTGGCGTTCTGTGCAGGTCTGCAGCTTTGTAAGAGGGGCAATCCCACATGAACTTGAGCTTTTCACCTAGTAAGTGCATGAACTGTGCTAACCAACAAGATGTTACATAGCTGAAACCCTGAATTACTACAGTAATTCTGTTTCTTTAACAAACTCCACCATGTGARTGAGTCCAGACAATTGCAGAATTGATGTCCTCAACATTAGAAAATACCTTTATAGACTTCTGAGTACTTCTGTGTATTTATAGCTTTCTTAATGAAAGATCAGAAATTTATGGTTCAAACTATTAAATTAATAAATGAAAACTGCAAACCACAAAAAAAAAAAAAGAGCATTTTCAATCTTTTAACATTATTTAGTAGCTTCTAACAAATTTGATAAAATCTTAATGTACAGATGGGGTAACTTTGCCCCAGAAACCTGCACGCAAGGCTTAGCCTTTAGCCTGTTGCTTCCTGCTAGCGGTGAGTCAGGAGCATGGTTGTTTGCATGCTTGTTTGCGAGGCATCCTGGCCGCTTGGAGTGAATAACACGAGAACCCAAGGTCCCTGTCTGTAAAATAGGTGAAGCTGAGCAGACCSTCTGCACACTCTAATTCTTCTGTCATAGGTGAAATGATTTTCCATGGAGTTTTAGGAGCTGGGCTCTTGTGCATGCTCTGCTTGTCTCCTGCATCTGCGTGAACCTTTGTTTGCTGATGTGGTGGTTGGTGTTTCACACTGAACTTTGTCACAGTAAATCTAAGCAAAAGTAAAAGAGCATAGTAAAAGAATTGGAAATGCAGTTATATCAGAATGGGGCTTTTTTCTGTAAAGTTGTCTTTTCTGTGAAAAGAGTCTCAACAAGGTTTATTAGGAATTTTGTCTGATATGCAAAAAAAGCTTGTGTGAGTCAACAATAATATTTCTTGCCATTAGCAAGTAAATGTAAATACACTAAATATATACATATATAAATAGCAAATCAATATAAATAAAAACTGTGAGGAAAATTTCACAATTGCAGCTTCAGATTCACTGAGGTTGCTCAGTGTATCATCTATCCCCTACTGAAAGTAGATGATGGCCAACCAGTTTAAGTGTCTTGAAATGTTTATGGCTTGTTTAGCCATAGCAATTACAAAATTGAATTTTGCCTCTTTTGCTGTGGAATCAAAACTTAGAATCACTCAAACTTGCTAATGCTGTTAAACTGTAAACTTTTTTCACAGAAAGTTGCACACTGACTTTTTGTAATACTTTTTCAGAAAAACTGTTGACTGTGGTTTGTTGCCATTTATTTAAAATATGTTCATTCTGTTTTGGAGAAAAATGTACAGAGATCTTTGTGAAAATTTTGTGTTTCTCTGTTTTGAAAGYAATCAGAAAATATAGCAGGCACATTGCTAGTTCTAAAATGCATAGTATTAAAAAAAAGGAGAGAGTTTCTCCTCCTGGGCAAAGTAGGGCAAAGAATGGAGAAGCAAAACTACGCGCGTCGTTCGGAGAGGGAGAGGACAAGGCAGCTCTCRCTCGCACTGACTCAGGGCCGCTCCATTCCCTCCTGGCGAACAGAGACCAAAGGTCTGTCTGCCTTCTCTGCAGAGTGGTACACAAGTATCCAGGCAATTTAAGAGCTAAATTCGCTGTGTTTTTTTATCTTTCCTCCAGACTGAGTTTCTTAAGCAAACAAACAAAAAATAGTAATCAGAAATTGCCTCTGTGAAGTTTTGATTTCCAAGGTTTGGGTCATAGAACACTCCACCCCCACTGAAAGCTGCTAGGAGCTGGTTCAAGAGCAGGTGGAAGGCATCGTAAAATGCCTGGTGAGCACCGCTCTGCGGAGAAGTACAAGGCAAGCTCTTTCCATGGAGCATAAGTGAATTTGGAAAACTCGGAATAACTTCCCTTGAAGCAAAAGGTTAGAATCTATCCTACCTGCCATGAGTTGCCTAAATCCTTTCCTCTTCCACCTGCCTGTGCTTCTCTCATAGCTTTGGCCTGCTTTCAGAGGGAAGGCGAGGTAGCGAGAGAAATGATACTAGTTTGTGCTGAGGAAGAAGCATGTTGGTTGACATTAAGAATACCTTTAAACATTGCATGTTTAAAAAAAAAAATGTCACTCAAAGATGCTGCGCACCTAGAGGAGACATAGAGTTAACTTGCAGCATCCAGTCCCTGGGWTCCTGCAGGTACCTGTACAACTGAGGCTTCACCAGCACGATGTTTGCAGAAGCAGTTGCTTAAGGTAGAGCACAAAAAAATGGCAAAGCTCATGGGCATGTTGCAGTCCTGCTGTAGAGATCACATGTAATATTAGTCACACCTCGAGACAGCTTCACACTTGTTAAAATCCTCATGCTGAAGGAACCAGGAGAATAACACTGGACATAAAGAGGACAGTGCAGTGCTGCTGAGGAAGAAGTTTTGAATCTGAGTTCTCAGCTGTGAATGCCATTTTGTTGCAGCATTTCAGTTCTTGATTCTGTGCCATGAAGCTTGTGGGGAACAATTAATCTTTTATAAGAACTGCAACATTAAAGTTTTATTAACACTGAAATAGCATATTAGAACCTGTCAGAAACTGTAGTTTTCATTTCTAGGAATTTTGCATTAAATCGTAAGTAGGATACAACTGATTTGCTTATTCACATTAAATGCATTTTTATTAAACAACAAAGTTAAAATACTGTGGCATCATCTACCTAATTACTTTGTTCAGTGTATTCTCATATACAGTCTTTCAGCATTTAGCAAAGATTTGATTTGGGAGTGAGTGGAGAGAACTGCAAAAGTCTCCAGGCRAACGGGCTGGCACTAAAGGAGAATTTGCAACAGTTTTCACAATGATGATTGATTCCTAACTGGTTTCTGTGATTTTATTGGTTTATTTTTTCCTTTAACTTGTAGAACCACATCACGGCCTTTGCAGAAGTCACATGATATTGACGCTGATGTTTATTCACTCCATTGGACTTCATCTCTTTTCACAGCCCACTCATGATAATTACAGTGTATCAAAAATCAGAAATTTTAAAAAGTCCTATTTCTGACTTGATTTTTACATGATTAAATGATAYCAACATTTTGAAGAATTCTTATATATTAAAATGTCACTGTTTACTTTTTGGTGGAATGGGACGAACAGAGCACTAATAGCATTTATCTGACAATACCATTTGTTTTGGCTTCTCATTGTATTAAATGGTTCATGTACTTAATTCCAGCAGTACTTCATATTTTGATYTTAATTTGATTTTTAATTTGCATTTTTAATTCGGCATGAAGGTGTTTCCATTTGAAGCAGTTTCAGTGTATAAAAACTAGGGAAAAAAATTATGTTCTGTATGAAAATGCTGTTTGCACATTGTATTACACTGTATTCCRTGTAAGATATCATTCAAAATGTATGTTATATGTAAGACTGGTGCTTCTGCTTTTGAAGAGAAAAAAATGCCAATTTTTACTGTAATAAGTATTGTATCATAATTAAAAGTTTATTTATTTGGATATTTTCCTGACATAATTGTAGTTGAATTGTTGTTTTGTAGTTCTTGAATGTCTTGAATGATATATATGTATCTAGGTTAAAAGAGATGAAAATAATATAGAGATTTTTGATCATTGATATTCTTTCTTACTGATGATACCCCATAAAGGTTAAGGGCTCCATTCTTAGGTCAGCATATCTGATAGGAAGTAGTGCTAAGCATGAAGCATTCAAACAAATTATTCAAGGAAGCATCTTCTCCTCACGTATTTATTACRCTCTGATAATATGCTGGGAGAATGGATGCTAAGATATGAGGAAGGTACATATGTGTTTTCACTCTCCATTTTCACCTTGAAGCACTCATGCAAAAGCCAAAATAACTGCAAAAAGGGGCCAAGGAGGTGAAATATATCTCTGCGGAGCTTTCTGACTTGATTACAAGAAAATATTCATGGTGAAAGGTATAGTCCGCCAGTCTGTACAGTGCTGGCAGGAACTGATTTTTTTCATCATSAGGCAGTGGTATCATATCTCCTTTGTCACTGTGAGTAATCAGTTGAGTCTCCCCTTCCAAAGACAGCCTTGCTGTCTGTTCATAGCRAAGTTGTCCTATCAAAATTGAGTGACAAATAGATTGGAATGTTGTCAATACTGAAGATATTTGTAGCATCTGCTAGAACGTTTTCCTTCAACAACAGTGGGTGCGACACCACTATAAACATCCAGTGATTTGCTGAAATGAACATAACCTTTTAGGCCTTAAATTTTTCATAATATATTGTATTCCTGTGGATTAATCATTGGTAGAAATTTTTTGAAACAGATAACTGTAAAATTGGGTATATTTTGTTTGTTGAATTTTAATGCATTCCCACCTCGTTGTCCAGGGAATACATGCTTTTTATTGTAACCTCTGCTTTCACTAAAATACTTGCCTACCACTACCTAAATACTGCTTGTGAAGCAAAGCAAGACCAGGTCGTCTTTGAGTGCAATAGAGCATATCTCACAGAGTCATTGTGCTAAACTGAGGATTAGAGAATAAAGAAATACATCTGAGGAAGAAAGAATAGAGCCCTTAGCTACAAGAACGTTACTAGGTGATTGAAAATCCACCTTTATTAGAATTTCAGCTATGTTTACAAAATTTGTTTCACCATCTTAGGCACACTTACCCTTCCCTTAGTCTAGTTGTGTAGGGCGCAAGGTACTAATGATTTCTCTGTGTGCAGATTTAAATGAAATCTTCACTCATTTTTGCATGGTAGCAAACCTGCGTTTTTTATATCTGATTTATAAGATTACCAACAGATTCTTTTATGTTAAAAGAGATGACTCTTTTTCAGTGTACTGTATATAATCAGCTTGTAACTGGTCTCTTTCTCTCTCAGGATCTTCCCAGTCAAATATTTGGGTTAAATTTATCATGTTATCTCTGTGAACCAGCAGTGAGAAAACAAAAAGAGATACACTCTACTGTATAATGTATTTTTAAATAAAATAATTTTTCATTCATGTGTACTGTATTTTTTTAGATATTTGAAGTCAATGTATATTGGTTGATAGTCTGCCTTTAGTAAAATGATGATTTTGGAAGTGAGCTGCATTTGATGATGAATATTCACAGTCAGCCAGGAATCCCCATCGTTAACCATCTTCCCCTAGAGGTGGCTTGGATACAAATGAGAAGCAGGAGGGGAGGAGCTGTGTTGCAGAAGAATCCACAATTTATTGGTAGAAGCTCTCGGGCAGGATGTGGGTCAGCCATGCCCCAGACTGCGCCTTGCTTGATTTGGAGAAGAGCTTAGAAATTCTTTCTCATGCACTCCCAGCAGCTTCGCTGCCCTGGGAGTGGAGGTTTGCAGGTCCRTTTTGGTCTGTTCTGAACATGAAAAAGCTTTCAGTAGGAACAATTTACTGAAACAAAAATAAGCTGACGTTTTCTCACTAAAATGGCTTTTTGGTGGTTGCTCTTTAGAAAAATCCCAATGAGGATTCTCTGAYGAGCCAAGCATCATCATTCATTTGGAAAGTATTCTGGCTCAGAGTACTTCCCAGAAAAAGCACGGAAATTGAAGATAGCCTTTCAGTGGTTTGGAATGCAGCTGTTACTATGATCTCTTCATGGACCTTTTCTGAGTGTACTTCAGTGAAACAACTCCACTTTATACAAATGAGATGCTTAAKAAGCATCCCTAATGCTGTATACTGCCGTGTTCCTAAAAGTGGAGCTCATAAGGCATATGGGGACACCAGCTGTGCTCATATCCATACCATTTTAGGTTTACGTATATATATTCTACTGTTTGTTCGTAATCGTCAACTGCATAAGACATACAGCAGGAGCATCTGGGCTCACATCTCTTCAGCTTTTAAAAATTTTCATTTTAACAATGTGTATTAAAAGAGAATAATACTGCTATTTTTCAGCTCCAATTTTCTTTGCGATTTGCTAGGGTTCTAATTTTGTTGCTGTCCAAGATCACAGTGAGTGTGACAGTCCATTTGCACATTATGTTAGCAGGGAGCTTTTTATACTCTTTCCAAGTCTAATTTTGGTATTTTTAAGCCTTGCCATGCAGAAGGCAGAGTGCATTGCGTTTTAAGAATGGATAAGCTGAGTCTGCTGTGACTTGACCAGATATATCCCTGGTTCTACGCATTGCCTGGGCTTTGAGGATACTCAGGAGCATCTTGCAGGCAGAAGGGCAGAGGAAACAGAGCTCAGAGTATTTTCGGCTGGCACTGCCTCTCACAGCTGGTTTGATGCCAATGCAACTGACTCCCTGCTTTAACCCAGAATCMTTCCTCTGCCCCCAGGTGCCTTGCAGAGCTGGACAGGTCAGGCAGGATACCACCCCCTTGCCCTGAGGTGCGTTATGAATCTGGCTGCAAAATCCTTACAGAACGGGAAAGGAGTGTGACAGGGAAAATGCCTTCTTCTATTCAGTAGCATGTGTGCTAATGGCTAGTAGATTTGCTGGATTTTTTGAACTTAAGATACGAGTATTGTAGTGGATGGCATTTCTGCACTCTACAAATACTTGCCTAGATGGGGATTGTTGCTGTTAGCATGATGTTTCTTCTAATAAGTTGTCTGCTGTTTCATTCCCTTGCTACTGTTRCTTAAAGAAGCAGTTACTGTTCCTTCCTTGGCAACCTCTATTTATACAACGGCAACTGGCAGCTTGAAGATATTCTATTCTAATATTCTGAAAATAAGTCTAATGTGAGGAGAGTGAAGTGCTCATTTTGGAAGACAGGAAAGTTCTTCTGGCTGTTGCTAGAGACAGAAGGCTTGAAACCAAGTCCTAGTAGGAAATAATCAGTAATAAAGCAAAATCTTTATCTTTGTCAATGTTTGATATTGCTGGCAAGACTGGTTGATCGATGATTTTTGAGATTAATATCGTATTTTTCTCATCAGTTAGAGAAAACATTACAAGCATATCATTTTGGAGCATAAAATTTTCCACAGAGAAAGAGAGAATATCCTTGTTTGTGATGTTTCTTCTTAGAGTTTACTCAAAGACAGTAAACACAGTGCAGGAGAGCAGGAATAGAGAGACTATAAACAAACGGTTTTAGGAAATGAGAGCTTTCCCATTTATAGGAGTCTTTTTAGGAAAGAAAATGAATAGAGACTTAACATTAGTCCATTATGTAACAGGATTCTATCATCTTAGGTATATATTATATATGGGAATGTTGCCTTCTTAACAGTGTGTGTGTTTCACACAGTCAATTAACATTTTGATTAGAAGAACAGATGATTCTGAGATGTTTAGTCTGCAGTTTTTTGTTAGCTTCAGAGAAGTTGGTGCTCTTGTCACGCTGGACACTGGTATCACTTTTTATTTACYGTCTTTTGACCTGTCTTCCTTGCATAATATATCCATCTTTCTCATCAGATGTTATGTGTTGCTGTGTCATATTGTGTCATAACCAGCATGATAACCAGCAAGTGTAGTAGGACCCCAAGGTCCCCAAGGACTTTATCAACATCATACTGCATTTTTCAAGTGCATATTCAGTCTCTGAATATGGAAGTGGAAAGATATGGTGAGATGTCATTTATTTCAGTGGGAGTAATGTAGCAGCAAAAAACATATATTTTTCCAGATTAAAAAAAAAAAAAAAGTCCAAAGTTTAAGTTCTGTAATAAACCTGAGGAAGATAATCTAAGCTGAAGGCTGCGCCTGAGTACAAAGGAAGTTTCAGAGGATGTTATGTGCGATGACCTTATAGACAGTGGATGAAGGTAACCTACAGAGCTGGTAAAATAAACAGATCATATGAGATTAATTCATGACACTGCATACACTACAGAGAGTGGTTCAACAGTCATGTTACAGGAACAAATATCACCYGGATTTGTGATGAATCACAAACTATTAGGAAGGCAAAGTTGTGCAGGGCTATATGTATTACACTTTCTGCCATAAAGCAAAAAGGAAAATTGGTCAAGATGCTGCTCTTGTCTATTCTAATTTGTGTAACTYCTGGGGACAGTCAGGGAGCTTGCTCCAGATTTCGATAGGAAACTCTGAGGGGAGACTGTTAATTTAAATCGTTTTTATTTCTTACAAGTCTGACCATGTCTTTGTTAACTCTTTCAAATACATTTGGTACTTGAGAAGCAACACTGCAGATATTTTAACAAATACGTTAACAAATTGTGTGAAATTGCTCACAGAATATCAGCAGATCACCAAAGACAGGTAGGAGACAACAGGCAAACTCCAGACCATCGTTATGCTCCTTGAACTTTATTTTGTCCTCATGCTGTGAGAGATTGTCCTTTTGAAACTTATACTTCATCCTGACCACAGATGAAGTTTTAATATTTGAATTAGGCTTCAAATATAGGTCACCAGATATGAATGCAGCACCTCTCTGCTCTCCTGTTTTCTCGCTCCCACTCCAGCCAGCACTCAAGGACCATTAGCAAGGCCGCAAACACAGTTTTTGCATTAACTGTAAGAAGGCCTCAGGAGGACTGCAACTCGCTGCATCACTGCCTGCTGTGCAGTCCAGAACTGAAGAACACAGCCATTCTTCCCCTCACTGGGGAAAAATGATGCCACATGTTTTCAGAAAGACAGGTTATTGTAGGACACCAGGCTCTGATCTCAGTTACTGGTGGGTGTTTGAACATTTGTATTGCTATGCTAGTTTTGCTCTTTCTGACAGACTTATGACAAGCGGCTACAAGCTCACATAGTACCATGATTAGCCCTTGAACAGGGAAATGCTCTTTCACCTACCAGATGGAGACTAGAAATATCATGTGAATTTATCAACTTTGCCTCCAGAAGCTTTAAGACATTCTGTCTTAGCCTGTTTCCAGAACAATATGTTATCTGAGAAGGTTTTCAGCCTGTCATTTTATATTCCTTGTGTATGAGATAAYGGTGATTTCCATTCATTCCCTGTAACAGATGCTGTCTTTTCTTTATATGCTCATTTCATATTCTTGATTGCTTTTTGAACTTATTCATTCTTCCATATTGATCTTTCATTGCTCTTATTACCAGATGGCATAAAGAGCTTGGTAGCATGCATTAATCAAGCTTTAAAATTCTTCTATTTTGCTTCAGTGCCATTCCTCTCCACACTAGCAGTGTTTGAACGTGTCTCCTTCTTCATTTTTTGGTCCTGGTTTGCAGTTTACCATTTGTCCTAGAATATATTGTAGACAAATAGTTAGCTTCACCTTGACACTATTCTGCATTTTCTCTCTAGGCTGTCATCTCCTTATGGCAGCAGTAGAACTGGGAAGTTCTGCCTGGTTTGTGCATTATTGGATGTGACTCCTGGTTTCAGAGCAGGGGTGCTGGCAAGGAGAACGGTGAGATTTGGAAAAGGAGGGAGAGACCTGCCTGTCCTCGTAACAGTCTTGTGGGGTATTCCTGGCACCTGTGAGAATGAGGGGGCTCTACGGGCAAGGATGGTCCTTGCTGGAGCCCTGTACTCATGTTCAGTCCTGCTCTTCACAAACGTCCCTCAAATATGACCATATTTCTAACAGGGAAGCAGCAAAATATGACTCTTTCCTTTTCTTACTCCCTTATTCTAATGAATCTCCTGCTGCTGTTAGGCCCCTTGACTTTGTTTTAACAAATAATGCTGCAGAAGTTCTTCTAGTTATGACTATMCTTGCTTACCTTCTTACTACATATCTGGTACAAGTGTTGATGTGATTCTATTTGTTAGATTGTAGATTGTTTGTACTATGAACTGTGTGT